TTGCCTCCGTACTGACGCCTCACGCGTAGATCGATTGCATTAGCGTCTATTCCATTGTCCATTACTTTGATTTGTGGCCCCGCCACGCTGTACCTCTCACCGACTAAACCACAATCGTGATTCACAGAAGGATTCACTTGTATCGTGCAATCAAGTCAGTCAAAATTTCAGATGAATAACGTTTCACACCAGTGTACATCACTGTGGCACATCTCTTCCATCGATAACAATAGGATACGCCAGATGGACGGATCGAGACAGAACAGCAGTGGGTCCACATCTAACGCCCGCTCATCCGACAACTTTCCTATGGATAGGGATTGACCAAGATCAGGCGGGTAGGCACAGGCTATAAGAGGGAGGGGCGAAGGGCAAATACCAAATGCATGAGTTCCCTCTTCGTCCACAACAGCAATAATAGCTTCGGCGTCCATCATCAGCAATTCGTTCAATGATGGACGTTCGCAGCGTCACCGAAAATAGGAGAAAGGTAGGCAAGCTCAAATCACCAAGCAACATAGTAGCGATAATGATACACTAGAACAACAATAAGACCGTATATTATGATATATAAAATAGTACAATCCACTAATAATACAATACAGTGAAGAAAGTAGCTTGAGTCCTTTTTTTGATCATTTTTGCTGTGCCTTCGCTAGAAGCCGTGCAAAACGGAGGCACGACGATACTCCTACGCAGAAAAATACTCCTATCTAGCCATTCTCCTGAGCTTTCAGTCAAATTTATCGTCTGAGGAAAACTTTATGGAACACATATGGATAGAGTAACAACGATAGCCGTAGCAGCAGTTGCAGCGGTGGTCGTAATAAAGATTTTTAGTAGATGCAGCTAGGCAGGGCTGGCTGGTTGCCAGCTGGCTTACTGAAACAGTGCAGAAAATCCTATGCTGTGTACCACTGCGCGGAATGACACCTGCGACACTGCTATTATCGGTACTGGCGGGAGTATAAATCAAATCATGTTCCCGAAATGTTTCTTTCTCGACACGGTACTGCATCTGCTTCTGATAGGGACTGTGAGGACGGAAAGAATACGTTTGTGTGGGCAGCCGATGAGAAATTCTACGAGATTAACGGTCAACCTAACCGTTATAATTATCCTAGAATTGTCTTATAATGCATCTGTATCTGAACATAGCACAAATACATGTATATATGTGCACGACAAAAATCACACGTTATGAAATAGGGTAGGTGTGGATATGTAGCGTTGCATTTATCTGACTGTCAGATCAATCTGTGGGTGTTTTTCCCCCCCCCCCCCCCAAAAAAATAGTAGACGCTTTGACGAAAAATCAAAAGAAGAAACGGTGATACTTCCTGCTTGTAGCAAGGATACACGCAGCTTTGTACGAAACAGGTAGTATGTAACAAAGTTGTTAATATGAGAACTTCAATCCCTTTGAGCGTCTTCAGTTTTCTCTGGGAAACGACTTTCGGCAGCAGAACAAAAGCGACTCAATTAAGTAGATGGCGCTTACTGACCTGAGAATGTTTTTTTGCAGCCGTTAGAGAAATATTTATGTTAAGAATGTAATTTTAATAAATTGGTATGCCTGTTTTGATCATGATTACGTCAGGGAGCAGGTGTTCCATGCAACTATATTCGAACTGGTTGATACCGTTTGCGGCTGCGGCGGCAACATATGGAAATCATTTTCAAAAGTGAAGGCTTTCTAGTGTGAAACATGTGTAATCATCTCAACGTACAGCTATGTGAACAATGTAAAGTTTACCATAGCTTATTATATATTTGATAAGTGACTTGTGGGGATGATAGATACTCGTTGATAACGTGATTTTTCTTTGATAGTGGAGGTAGAAACCAACGTATTTTTCCTCTATTTTTTATATACATTTATCCCGTCTATCCTATCTCTTGGTCCTGAAATGTCTTCTCTCGTATTATTATCGCTAACAGTAGCAATCGTCGTTGTGTTGTTTTTAAGTCATAATTTTACGTACCATTTAATAGTTTTATTTTCAGTTCAGATGCCTCACATGCATTCGCGGTTCGAATCGAGTAACATTAAACGAGGTAGATTTCAGCGTGGTGCAATACGCGAACGAACGACGTCATTTTCATTACTCGACAAAAAAAAATAACAAATGTTACTCTTTGTTGTTCTCGTATATAATATATATATATATATAATAATAAGTATCGAATAAATAGGACCCGTCCAAAAGTTTATTCCTAAACTAAAATAAAAAAAAATAAAAAAGTAAACGTAATCGAACAATTTTGAGTGAAGAAAACACTTTCTACATTTTACTATACGATTCCTGCTAATCCTTTTATATTTGCTACACGGTCATGTTATTTATATACAACAGTGCGTACATAAGACTTTTATATTTAGGTATATAGGCAGAAAAAAGTGTGGCTCGTTAATGATCACAAGTTAGACACCACTTGCATTTGAACTTCTACACCCAAAGTTGGAAATGTTTTTGTAGTTTACCAGGTCAGTTTCTTTTGGGGTCAGATTAGTAATTCGATCACTGATCATCCTCTTACTTACGTGGCTAGAAAAATTTGGCCGTTTTTAGTAAGCAGACTTCAACTAAGATAACACCTCCGCATGGAAAAACTCACTTCTACTCTTAAAAGCTGAAAAACCAATCCCGAGTCAGGGACAAGGGGATTTATGGTACGATCGTACCATACTCAACAGTAGGGCTGTTAAGGCAAGTCTCAGAATACTTGTGTGTCACGGTTCTCTACGATACGCTATTCGGAACGGAACATTAGCTCAGCCAAAGTGAATCTATCGTTCTAGCTTGGTACGAAGATACAGGTCAAGCAATCAGTGTCCAATGCTTCTGTATGTCTCTGCTTTTTTTTGTTTTACAACGGCTGAATTACGTTGACGTGCTTTTGTAGTTGCAGACGTATATATTGTTTCCTGATATATGCTAGCCGTGTGCTCATAAATTTCGGTGTTAGTCTACTCCGATATATTCAAGCGAGCAACAAAGCACTATAATCCTTTGCATATGCTACTGTTTCGAACAGCCAAAACGTTTACGTGAGCCTTTCCATACATATTTCTGTTCTAACGAATTACTAGTATGCGTCAAACTGACTTTGAACGAATGACAATAAATATTTATTTTACATGACTAACCGCATTATCTCTATAAGGGCTCATTTTATGCTGGAAACATTGCTGCGCCCTTCGCCTTCCTGCACATTGGCTAGCATCTGAATACCTTAAGTGATAAACGTAGCGAAACACGTGCACACGTACAAACCCATCGCCATTTCATTGCTATGCAAAAGTCTATCGGCAGACTTTGCTGACTGGAAGGCACTGGTTCGCCAGTTTAACGCCCTCTAGCCAAGCTCCAATTCGAAACGTAAAAATCTTAGGAACATCGACAGACCGCGCTAACAGCCGCTGCAGTGGCAGCCAACAGTCGCAACCGATGACGACCGCGTCGCCCGCAAAAATTAGAAAGAGACAAGATCCATGTACGTTAGAGCGTTAGAGGCACGGCTCATTCCGTTACCATCGTGTAACTTGGCCATCTTGAATTGCTAAACTGTCCCTATAGCAATTGAAAAATAATTAACCTTGTTAATGATGACGATACCGGCATAGCAGCGTCAGTACTTTACGGAGCTTTAGCAGCGTCTCCAATACAGAACTGGTTACGATCGTACCGTACATAATTCACAATGCTGCTGGGCGCTACTGGCAGCTGGCAAACCAGATCATCCATTCATCGAATGGTTTTCGCGCGCCACGCCAACGATCAGCAGGTCTATCTGTCTACTAGCTAGTAGATGGTGTCTGAGGCAGGACTAACACCAGCAGCAGGCGACGACACGCCATATTGTCTCGCGTATTTCTCACCCTTGTCGTCTGCTACAACGATGTTTGAAGGTGACAACGATGTGTGCGCGATCCGAAGAAATTGAGAATACAACTTTATCGTTCATGTGTTATCGCGCCGAGATTCCCTTACCCCGGTAAGAACAACGGCAGTAGCAACGACGTACGCAAGTTTGATCGAGACGCTCGCCAACATCTGTTGGCTGAACGAACTGGATTTTCTGCTTGAATAGAGGAATACGATGTACTTAGTTTATAATGTATTGTATTATGTGTGAGCAATGGTTGCCGTTAGGTATGAACGCAGCGCTTTGGCAATGTCGATGTTCGGTGCAGGCCGTTGTTTTACCTGGCTGAGAATTGAAAAATCTATCATGTTGCAAATAGCTAATTGTGTATTGGCAGGTTTTTACTCTTTGTATAGTTTGCTTTATTGTTTTTTTTTGGGTAATACGTGTCGTTTTTCAAACGATTCGGTGTGCCTTTAGCCAGACAGACAGGCCGGCTGGAACTAACATGGCTGATAAGCAATCGTATAATGAGCTGGCTTCATGCTGTTTTTTCGATAATCAATACAAGGTAACGTATGAAAGGAATAATTGTAAGCTGTAGATCGATTAGCTTGCTTAGCAAATTTTGTAAGCCATGTCAAACTAGCAGACGACTGTAGGCAAAGTCGATGTAAATACGAATTTTTTCACCAAATAGCACTATTCTCAGATGAAGTCTTTAGATTATAGATATCGCGATGTTTATAGCGTAAAAAGTGCAGGTCAGTTCCGTTAGTCTTCATGAAGTCTCTAATAGATTTAAGAGCAGCGTGCTGCTTTCCTTTTACCTGTTCGGTATAATCCATATATTTCAGAGACTCTAGAGGGTCACAATGAGACCGGCGATTCGTCAAACACTTCGATGAACTTGAAAAAGCCGTATAAACCTACTGATGATTGAAATTCGGCATATACACGTGATCTGAAAATATCGCCGAATGCTTTTTTACGCTACAATTAAGATGGTTATAATTGCAACTGTATACAAATAGAGATATAAAAATCGTTAGATACAAATACAGTTAGATTTAAATATTCTGGGGTACGATTTTATTTTAACAGCTCTCAGCCTCCATATTATTCAGATTTCTGTGTAGACAAGGCCATCGATTTTTCACCACAATATGCTTTTATCACTAGTCGAAAAATACTTTTTTTTTTTTTACAGGAAATAATTTGTACAATGTGAGAGTTTGAAAATATCCATCACAGCTAATTGCAAAGGAGCTTTGAAAATTAATTCCTTAATACACCTTTGAATACTATTCGATTAAGTTAACTACACTACGTAATTTACTTATTAACAGTTAACTTAGCCAGGCTGTGACCTAATATATTAAGGCTACAACGGCGCTAATCATAGCGTTTGTCATCTTTGACTTAATACGTCGGTTAGCTACTTTTATTGCCGTGCCGCTGCATACACTGTCCTTTGTACTTAGTACGTAAAAGTTGGGAAAGGGTTGGCATCGATCAAAAAAAAACATTTCTCATAATAAAATAATCCAATTGAAAATGTTCGACAGCTCTGCATGGTGGAAAATCTGTCGTTAGCACAATAGACACTGTTACATTGTACTGTTATGTTATCACTGGGGATCAATCTTTTCGCGTGAGATGTGCTATTTGCAAGCAGATACACGGTTTTCGACCAGAAGTGCCTGTCACCCCGAACCACATAGGTCGTTTTGCCGCTATCAACCATCCGGGAGCAGAAGGCTGTAGCTGGGTTATTGTCGACTGCCATTCTTTTCCGATCCGGTTTCGCCTAATGTATGGAGCAACGATAGGCCGTTAGCTATCCAATTACAGGAGATTATTATGAGCATTACCGGCTCCATCAATGATGCGTTAGGTGAACTCTTTGGAAAATCCAGTAAATACGGATTGGTCAGGTTATTCGACAGATCGCGTGTACGTGACTGTAGTCAATAAATGAAAAATATAGAAGCAACTGATAGATTTGTTTCTTGGAAAAAAGAAAATGCAACCGCTGAATTTGCCATGCCATGCAAATATATTTCTATCATTTCTGTGCGACGATTGCCACTAAAATATCGACTATCCTTAAAGAACAGCTAATTATTCGTATTTATTTTTTGTCTTGAACGGTCGTTACTTTTTATCAGAAACGGCTCACAGTCTGGTATTCTTATATACGTAAAAAAGGTCTTAAAAAAAAAATCCTAAAAGTCGAATAAAATCGAGACGTAAGTCACAAAAAACTAACCGTTCCCGTCGAAAGTTCCTATGGTTATAAATTGGGTATCTGTCCTATATCATATATTTTCCGTTTCGCAAAAAAATTTGCAAATGCAGTTTATCGTGCATGCCTAAGCCAAAAATATTTCTAACGAAGTCATTCCGACAGATTTTCACAGAAATCTATGTACGAGGCCCGTAACATCGTATTCAAACATCCGTAATTTCTCACTCAAGATACAATCGACTGGTGAGCAAAATCAGGTGCATCAAAATTACAGAACGACGCTTACGCGTCTGACGTCATGAACAGCTAGCTAATTCTAAATTTCTTACTCAGAAAGAAAAGGATTCGATGAGGCACCGTCACAGGAAAGTCACAATGTCATTTGCCACTATCAGTGTTTCGTTTTAGCCCAAACGACCCTGGTCCAATGAAGCTGCCGATGATAGTGATGATGACGTACAGACGTTATCATTCATATGAGCAGGGATTACCTGTTGGTTCAACACAGATTTGCTCATTTAATAGGTGTTCATGAAGAATCGATTTTTAGACACGTGGACGTATTTTCATCTGGCTATTGTCTACATTTAGTTAGAAGATTGGAGCACAATAGGGTCTGCTACGTAAATGGGATATCGGTAGCCGATAAAAACGGTATGTATCAAGCCGCGACGGCATACACCATATTTGATTATGAGCGAATTCTGGATACTGCCCAGATACAGCGAAACCAACTTAAATCGTTCAGCAGATTTGAGCCCATTCGAAAGCTAGCCAAAGCAAACGCGCAGACTGACCAAGCATAAATGAGAACAGTGAAGACGGATAACAAACTCAAGAGGTTCTCGTTGGCTAAGTAAAATCCTTGCAGACTGCAGTAGTTGTTCAGGTAGCGGTCTAGAAAATCCATTGCCATTCAGCGATATGTCGACGAACTTTACTTGTAAAGTTCCTATAAAGTCGATCCCAACAAGTGAAAACTACGTTGTCTAATGTATTATGTGATGTATTTACGGAGATGCCCTTCTTGCTCTGGCTGGAGGTTGGCACCGACTTAGGCACTGTAGTCTGTTCGTTGTGGGTGACACATGTGAATCACGTAAAAGTCTCCACAAAAAAGAAACCAGCCATGGTTGTATACTGACTAATCACCCGCTCGTACTTGATTTAGCATCTTTAAGAAAAGTTCCTTGAAATGGTTAGCAGGATCGTAAATGTCATCTTCAGAATAGGACATCTGTACGCCATCATCGTATACTCTTTGCGATTTAAATGCTTCAAATTTTGCATCCGGAGCCTGGCGGGCGTTTAGCGCAGCTGCCAATGGCGTGCTTTTTCGAATGCAAAATAAAGTGTGTCTACGTTCAAATTCGACCTTAGGCCAATACCTGTCTCAAAGTAAGGCAAATGCGTGATTAATACACTATCATGGAGATAGATTCTGCTTATGATATAAAATGATTTAGTGAAATTAGCTTAAGGAACGCTTTCTAACAATCACACGTAGTCCACGGGAAAACACAGATATTACAAAAATATTATGATCACGCATTTTTTCCACATGTTGTAAATGCAAGCTGATCCGATCTATCGGGTAGGTCAAACCATAACAAGAACAAAGTTCAATAGTAAATAATAGTAGTATACGTGTACCTAATGGCATCAAGCAATGTAAAGTGCCGGTACTGCATCAGGCCCACATCGTTTGTAGAGTCTTTGCAGCCAGATAAGTGGTTGGTATCATTTTTGGCTGAGTTATTGGGATTTTCGCTCGGATATAACGATTCGGATATAATGATGATGTTGTTAGATAATTGAATTATTATTGTGTACTAAAACCATTAAGTATGGAGGAAATCATAACACGTGCCCGGCAAAAGTGGCTGAATATAGTGAGGTAACGATCAACATGAAACTCGCGTAAGAGCCGCTATAGGTGATGGTAGTACTTATTCAATTAAACTCTTTCTATTTATAAATATATATGAGGTGTGCAACATATTAGTTAATCCTGTTCTTTTCTATCGTATAGCTGCACTGTGAATGATAATTGAAGTCGCTTGATGGCGACAAATTACGCCACTAAAGTATCACAAATGGCACAGTTGACCAAAAAATCAGATTGTATAGCCAAACGACAAGCGATCACTCTCTGTAACAATTTTAGTGCCAGCTGATATTTCTTTAGCAGGCGTTCCTCACAAACTAACAGGCCTAAAGTAGACGGACACTGGCGGAAGTGAGTCATTGAGGAAATCGGGAAGAATTTTCGCTCACTTACCTATTCGGATCCGATCTATTCAGTTCATTGTGTGCCCTATGATATATACAAACACCAAAACTTACGATACTACACGAATAGACTAAATGTAGACGGCAAATATCATACCACCATCATGGTAGTTCAGCATTGACAGTATGAGCCGATTTGATATCGTTAAAGAAGCTCATCTGTGACAAATGACGTTATTTAAATAGATCGAACCCCCCGATCTCGTATATTAAACGTGGCGAATATATATACTGGTGGTAGCGTTAATCTCTAGCAAATAATTTAAACCGCGTTATGTTGTTTGTTGTGTCTCTGTTGGAAGAACACGTGTCCCGTTATGACTCTCTATTGAATTTTCGTGCTACTGTACAAAGCGCTTGTTGATGCAATCACCAGGATAGTGAAGATGTGACATGTTGAAACCTGCTATTTGACATACGTAGACTTTCGGACGTATAGACTGGAGCCAGTCTGAAGCAGATGTAAACTGACCGTGTCAGGGAAACATCCATTGGTCGAGGTCATAGCGTTAAATTCTGTATTCTAGAACGAAACACATATACAGTTATATACATATGTGTCATCTACACATCTTCGTTATGTTTTATGGTTGCTAATGAGGAATACGTAGGCGCCGCTTCAAATCCAGGCAGCTAAAAATAACGTACAAAGGCTTCTGTTATGTTTTGACCAATTTAGTGGTCGTATTGTTTTATTGAATCAAATGCCACCGCCGTAGCTATGACTCCCAGCTCCATCTGCTAACGCGTAGTTACGTCGTGAGTGTACTTATTTTGCCAGCAAACGAAATCTATCATGTGTCATATGCAGTTTCTTTGTTCCCCCAGTGGGCAGTACGAGCTTTCGTAAAAACATCACCCTGCTTCCCGGAACAGTGCTTCTGATCGAAGTCATTATTCATAGTGATACTCAGTCAATATTCAGTGTCGGTATCAGCTTGAGCAACAGAAATATGCAATCTTCCTTATGCTGTACGTTTGTTTGTACGTATGTCAGAGGAAATCGGGGCGCATCTGATGTGCTATTGGTATGGATGTTTGCCTATGTGCCATCGATTGCTTCTTGCTTAAGGACGAGTTGTCATAGCCGATGAAACGCGTGGTGACTGAAGACTTAGCACCAAAAGAATTAGCTTGCCTTATAGTCGAGCATAACCCGTCGTCGCGTTGCCACTAGTATTAAAATATTTTTCGTATTTCTCGTCTTTTGCGTAAGTCGTTAGGCATTACTTTAGATGATTCAGTCCAGCCAATACGAAACAAGTATCCACGCCTGAATTCTACCGTAGAGTGTTACTTGTCGCTACGTTTAATAGGCAAAAACGTTATCCATTCAGAAGGCAGTAGATTAAACCGAAGTAGCGGCAGTCGCTAACAAAGGAGTTAGTTCCCAAGTGTGACCAAACGGGGAAAGGGAAAAGAAAGTATAACTTCCTACTAGTACTGCTAGACACCTCGCACATAGGCTTGTCTAAGTATAAATATTCGTACATTTATACAAACACTCCGGTTGCTGGCAACAAAAATTGATGACAGGAAAACTATAAACTTATGTAATTATTATAGCATAGAATGCTTTTCGTACAAAATCATCATCTAGCGTTAGCCATTGTTAACCGAGTCCGCTGTCTCACGGGGCAGCGGCTAGGCAAGCGTCTGATTATCTGTCTGTCTAATATCCGCCGACATTAGTAGAAGCATTGCTGCCTCCCCAGTACTCGAAAGACATTCACGCACCGTTCGTATTGTTTGCCCTACTATCGCCGTCATCGTTGTTATTACTGTGTCTTAGTCTAGGATATCATTGAACCTCTTGCCCTGCCGCCAGAAAAGCGTGGTTGTTTTCGTCGTCGTCGAGCCACACTTGCATGGCCGTCACCATCGGCCGAATATCGGTTTCACGCAGAAGTGCCAACTAAAAATGCCACTGTGTTTACTGCACCGTTGCTGGGGCTTGCTCCGTACCATGACTTCTGCCTGCCCTTAATAGAAACGGTCTTCGGCACAGAAGTAGCTGACTGTGGTTCTACGACACACATGCATAGGCACTTACACGCCAAATAACAGGAAAAGAATCATCATTTCGTTGTTGACGACATTCTTCTTTGAAATTTCTTGAGATTAACTGTTACTTTACCAATGTCGATGATTCAGCCGTATGGAGCCGTAACTGCTTGATAGCGAAACAGACTGGCTGGAGGGCATTCGAACAGTGTTCTACCAGTACCACATACTTGTTAGTAAATTGGGGGGTGGGTTCCTGGCTAACAAGAATGCAAACAGAGACCGACGCGGTGGCCCCTGCCAGTTCTATTATGGTGTCCCTACATACACAGACAAACATGCATGGAGATGCGAACCGTAACATACGCTGTAAAGCAGCGTTAACGGGTGACCTTTGCTATGTTGGAAAGGAACGACAAGACAGTCAAATGGCGCGAGGCGACAACTAGAATCGGTTATGCCAGCAGGAGTGGCAGACACTCCGCCTCTGTACGAGAAAGAAACTTTGTTGCCCTGCCCCCACCGGTAGGTCTTCGCTTGCTTGTTGACTTTTGTAGTTACTGCTGATATTGTCAAGGTCCCCGAAGCGAACAATAAACGTTTAACGAGTGAGCAGTCAAGTTCAAATAGAAACAGCAAACCTATGTCGCAGTTGGGACCCGGCAGCGGCGGTGAAGACAGCGGAATCGAAAGTAAAGGCCACCGCAAACGATTCCCAATAGCCCGATGAACGACTTGAAAAGCTGAACCGGTCAAAACTCAGTGAACAGCTTCTAATTTTTTTTGCTGGTGATGACTCTACGCAAGCGATCGGCGAAAACATATAATAACTCATGATACGATATGAGCTAGTTGCGCGTATATCTACCGAGCAGGTGCCCTATGGGTGTAGGCAAAAGAAAAGTTCTTTCGATCCCAGAAGCTTCTCATTGTCATTCTGCACGTTGTGCTATTCAATGCCGGCCCTGGACCTTTTTTCTTCTAGCCCATATTTCGATCACGGTATGCACAACACCTATCTTCTAGTGGACCCGAATCATCGTTGAAAACATACGAGTACCTATGAATTTACAGGATTTAGGGTAACTTTTACGTATAGTTGGCAAAGAATAATTGGTTGTCACATCGAAATCGTTAGAAATCTGATTTTTTTGCTATTCTTCTATAGTATGAACGGGAAGCGGGGGAACGTTAGCGATGACCCACCCAGAAATCCTAACGTAAATACGAGCTGACCTTACAGAGGTTAAACCAGGCAGGCATATGAATGTGTATAGCATGTGTAATGTGTTTTTATCGCCATTGTTTAACGTTACTAAAGTCAAGTAGGTATGAAAGGATTCAGCCGTGGTATTTTGTGTCATTTAAACATTAGGTCATTTGAAAATCATATGTAGAGTCGGCAGTATGCACTAGTTATTCCCATGAAGCTTGCTTTTTTTAAATATTTTTTTTTATATAATAAAGTGAAGATGATTCAGCCTGTATGATCTACATAAGATAAAAATGGCAGCTTCGCATCCGTGAAGTCCCGTGTTCGCTAGCCCGCTAAAAGGCAATAATTTTTTTAAATTATGTAACATATTATTAACATTAAGCACACACTACGTTTCGCAATCCAACAAACACTATTAAACTCTTTATTCGTAATATATTGGAGATAATCCCCACGGTGTCATTAACGCCTTCAGCGGGAGGGGTATTTTGGTGCTGGGAAAATGTAGCCCTGGCGGGCAAAACTGAATTCCAACAGAGGTTTTTTTTTAAGACCAAACGATTTTTAAACGTTTGGCCAATGAAGAAATCCAGTCGGTCACTCGCGCGTACTACACAGAGACGCGCAGCTTCAAACAACGAATTCGCTGCGAAAAAATTTCGCGTTCGACATTTGCCTTCATTGCGATCATCGTTGACTTGAGCGTGAGAGATATTGTCCTGCCTAGTTGCTATTGTTCAATATTTTCTCCGGCCACAACACCTTATTTAGGGGTGTTTCAAACGAAATAACTGGTAGCAGGCCAAAAGCAACAGCACAGATGTCATGCGAACGATAATTATCGCGATAGTCGTAATAGAAACGTGATCAACTTCTAAGCATTAGTTAAATAATGAAATATTAATGAGCAACCTTTTAGGAAAGGCGACCTTAGTTCTTCGAAGCAGTTCAGCCTGAACGGATCAAGTAAAGGCAAAATGAGCAAATTGCGGAACCAGTTCACTCGCTAACTCACTGTTGATCGGATAGACTTAGCACGGCAAATTGTTATAGATTCTATTTGGTACAACCTTTAGCAGAGCTTAAGGTTTCAGGCCTCCAGACTTGATCCTACAATACCTCTATCGACATAGAAACGTTTCGGGTTTTCGCGGCGCCCACAGCGCCTGATAAACGAATCCGATGCCAACACAAGCGCAATTAAAACGTATTAAGCAAACGGAGCGGCAGACCAGGTTTCGGCCGACGGTCATGGGCGTCGAGTTAATTTAACAGTTTGTCTGCGCTGGCCATTTACAATGTGTGGGGGCCTTTTCGTGCCCCAGAACAATATCGCTATCAGGTGCATACCACTCTTCCTAGTGTTATCCGTTATTATGTGTATGTGTGATGGTAATAGCATTGAAACACTGTTTTTTCTTCTATATAAATGAGATGATCGTGAAATAGGCACCAAGTATTGATATGCTCACACGCTTACCATCACCAATATGAAAGTCCATGCTATAGCGTAACGACAATAATAACAATACATTATTTGCTTTTTTCGCTCCTTTGTTTAGCGAAATAATCATCAAAAGCGTAGGAAATCACCAATTAACGCTTTACCTGTTGTTGTTACGGGAATGTCCTACGTAAAGTCCTGCTATCATTGCCATTTTACTATAGTTGGTAAAAACGTGGTCCTAATTAATGTAGCCGATTTAAAATTTCAGCTTATAAGTAGATGACGAGCCTGCCTTCATTTCTTCCTTTCCGCCCACATTAACAATTTCATCGTGAATAACCTCTACCTACACTAGTCTGTCGTCCTGCGAATTGCCAATCATGAGTATACTTCAGACCATCTGGGCCTATTCTTAGAAGCCCCAGAGTGAAGCAAAAGCATATCTACTTGACCAAGATACCGACATTGCAATATATAAGCTATGCAACATTCATCATTTCGTATGCTCGGACTAGATTTTGAGTTAGAACGCATTTTCACGGGATCTATGGGACGGGTGTTCTAACGATTTCTTCCGTCTGTAGAAGTCATTTAGGTCATTTTCTTCGGCGTCACTTGCGGATGTTCAAGGGACATGTGTGAAACGTGGGGTGCTGTAGTGGACATTTCATCACCAGTCCGGATGCTTTTACTAGTTTGGCCATTAGATAATTGCAAGGTCAACCGTTGTTCAATTGTTTATACATATATATTTATATATATATATATATATATATAGAAGATATCAATATTTTCTGTAACGAGATAAGCGTATGGACGCATAAATGTACAATAACGTAAAGCGGTGCGGGCAAAAACAGTTTTGTCAACCCAAACCATCAGAATTATCTAAAAGTAGAGAAGAATGGGATTGGCGTTAGCAAGTAAAGACCGAATAGTTAATCCATCCAGTCGATATGAGTATTTTAATGATGTTGGACGCGCGGATGCTCCTCAAAAATTCTGTGCATACTAATAAAACCAGGTCTTCGTACGATTAACTATACAAGTCCGGGTAAAGGTGGACAGCAGATATAGACTGCTAATCATCTAATCTTCATAGCTATAGGCGACATACTAGGTTCCGTTGAATTTATGGTACTATTTTTTATTGATTTTGTGTCACACGTACGCACGCCTAAGCTATAGAGGAAACGTCACGGACGCAATTAGACAATCATTTCCTGCACTGTGCCGAACATGCCTATGATGCTTTCATAGGAGGTAATACGTAAATAATTCATACAATATTGTAACTTTGTTTTCTCTCTGAACTAAAATTCACAACGTTTGCTGTCAAACTATCATAACTATGAGTCGTCTTCATCGCGTTAGAGTCTGGGCCTAGTAAACCCATAGAAGGCGAGCTCATTGATTCACAATCTGTCACGCCCACCCGTGTCTGTTTTATTATCTGTTTTAATTCTATGCTTGGCCGCTTGAAACAACTCTGGATAACTCATCTTGTTACAACCATAATGGACGAGAATCCGTTGTTATATGCAACGTTACCGTCTCCAAGAATAAATTATTGTCCTATCTCGCCCGACTGATATTTTCAAAAAAAGAAAAGGCTACATTCAGTGCGTTTATACAAATCTCACAATGAACAGCTGATCCTAGTAAACAGCAGAGGGATGCAATCTTATACCGTTACCCTGGTTGTGGTGACGTCGCGCTGGCACTGGGTTAGATCGTAATAGATTTCGGTGGACCTTCAGGTTACGCTCAAAGAGGTATAGTCACATCAGATCTAGAGTGGTCCGCCGTCTGCCTGCCAGTCATAAAGACTGCCAACATTTTTTTTGTCTCTTATGCATTTCTATTGTGGCAATGGTATTATACGCTCCACAGCCGTGTAGTTGTGTTAAATCCAGTTACAGCGATTGGGGCCATTGGTAGAATTGTTACGCTTAGCGTGCCATGCTTATGCATTCCACTTTGTTGTCATTTTTATGGTCGTTGTTGGGTTCGTAGCGGTCGTAGTAGGCCAGTCAACGTTGGGCTGAAGTGCGACGTGTGTACGTCACCTATACGCGTACAAGCGTCACTATGGCGCTTAGCCAGAAATAATGTACGGTGTAGTATATAGATGGTATAACAAACATCTCAGTATCTCTGTAAGTCTAATATGAGCGACTCGTTGCCCGTTTGTCGTGCATTCCTCTCCATATAATGCCATCTGTAGCAAAACAGCGATTGTACCATGCACTCGAAACGTCACAACTCAGGCCAGCTACTGCAACTAACTACAGAGTGCTAATGTCTACTATTACGACTACGTCCGTTACCGCTACTGTCAATAGTATAAAATAGTACTAACAGTACGGCACACCTCGACGCAGAAAGAAACGCGAGGCGATTTTCCGGCACGGGCGTGCGCGAACCAAGCGACACTGGGCCGACAGAGGCCCTCATAATCAAGCCGAGGGCCTAAACCACGCGGGGCCGCATTGAACAGTGCGTTTACATTGTCATAGCAACAACTACCGCAATAATCACAGCACCGCCGTGATAGAGTCGGAGATCAATAATTAGCCAAAACAGAGCGCTCGGACGCCTCTCAGACGCTTGTAAACAGCGTGACGTACTTCTACTACGATGTTACAATTGTAGCGACCATCAACGACAAATGCATCCATTAGCAACAAATGAAGCGACAGCTGTTTTAACTACTTAAAATGCGGAACCCAAACCCTTTAAACATTTGTAGTCTTTTTTCGAGGAACACTGACGCAGAATCGCACTGAGCAAGATATGAGCCTTCAGCCAACTAACTGATCAAGCGTACGTCACGGTCGGAGAGTTTTTGTCCTTCGCAAATGATCCCTCAAATCATAAGGGTACGTGGTAGTAACAATTAGATGCAATGGTAACTCGCGCAAATAGTCGCCAGTACTGTTTTACTGTAGTAGAACCTTTTTAGGCCTACTATTGTACAATGTGTACATTTAGACCTATTTTTAATTTGTTGAAGAATCGAGATTTGTTAACATTTCGAATTGTGGGGCTTCACACTAAACCACACAATTCTGGGTTAGATGCCGTTGCCACTGTAATAATCTCTGTACCACCGTATCGACCTGAGTGGCCCGCCTACTGCTTTTACCTGACATGTGTTTGCACTTTGGAATTAACTGCAGCAACGATCTGGAAACAACATACCGGCCTTCTTTGGACCTGTACAATGCGCAAGTAACGAAAACAACCCAACTGTGACGATGAGTCGCATAGGTGCAGGTCACCAAGCGCTAGATGCGGTAGCACTCTCAGCTGTCCTCATAAGAGCTCACGAATCAGCTTGAGTCGTAGGTTGGATTCAGGCTCTAAGCAGCATATCATACGTATAAGCCCTTTTAAATCGGAAAAAAGTGAAGTAATCAATCAAGCCACAAACGTTACAGATATGTAAATAACTCTATGCTCCTTTGTTAACCGATCTTGTATGCTTTTTCCCTTCGTCAAGTGGGTTGAAAAATGCAAAACCCAATTTTTACTGGGGCCCTTTCGTTCTCGACCTTTTCATAATGTAAATGTTCACTTTGTTGGTTACCTGTTATTCCGATGACGGCGAAAAAAATCATTGAAAATGAATTCCTCATGGCTGAAACGTATCCTGCGATGTTGAGAACGTTCGATGGTGTCAATCTGCTTTGTGATCTGGGGAAAACGTCTCTCCGGAAACGGTTGTACTAGATTGGCACTATTATGTAGATTACACCACCGCACGCGAGGCCGCTATTATATGAGGGAACACATAAATAACCCTAACCAAGTCCGCTTGAAACAGAGGCTGATCCGTTTTAAGGTTTACTGTTCCTTATTCGCAGGCACCGATTGCCTTAGCTACTTGTGCAGCTGCTAGCACAGCCGCTCTGCAGACCTCTTCTATACAATTGATTAGTGGTGCACACCGCAAAATTAAGCAGATATCACAAATGCAGACGACAAGAGATGCTGTAGCTGATCGTGATATAATTATCCTTTCGGTGACTTTTTCAGGGGGCAAGCGTGGTAATAAGCTCCTAAATTAGCATAGTATACACTATCAAGATAGCATGCAGGGCATAATCCATAGAACGGTCACAGCGTCACGCTCACAATTTGAATTTCAGCGGTTTGAACAATACAAACGAGGTAACGATCGTTAAGAATGGATCAATCCCAGTTAACGCAAATACACGTCGAGACACTCGTAGCTGCACGACCAGCGCGTAAAGACACCAGCTAATGTGATTCACAATCGATACGCACATAGACGCAAGGCGAGGTGATTGGAAAACGTGTTACGAGTTCGTAACGACGGTGGCCTAAGGCATGGACGATTCTTGGCGAAAAAGTAAGATAATGGCCCTGAGGTAATCAATTTCACTAAACTGGCTTGATCAATAAAAAAACAAAGCTTTCTATGTATTCTGGGGAGGAAAGGCGTATTTTAGGAAAATCAGAAGTAGGCAGAAGAAAGTTAACAGTCTCAGTAATCTAGCAGAAGCTTTGGTAGTAATCCTAAAATGGGTATAACCTGGGACGAGGACAACGTTAATGACAACAAGGTACAGGCGGGGGTACGTTACGGAGGGGTCGGATTGGTTATTACTGAAACAAACGATGATCACTGGACAAACGAAGAAAAACTGCCACTAAACAGAGAAGAGAGGATTGAAAGTGAATTCGATTGAATTCAAATCATCGTGCCACGCCGTCTAGGAGCAGGGGATGAACAAAAAAGACATAGACGATAACAACGGTACGTGAGCGGGCCGAATAGTGTTTAGTGCATCGTCGCGGGTCGGCCGCCGTCGAAGCTCTGAAGCGGTGCAACGTTCAACGGGACCGCTGCTGCACGCGCCAGCGGGCGAGAACCGCCAAGACCTCGCTTACCGTTAGCGGTAAGGAGTTCAATAGTTCCCTTGCCACGTAACGTACGTTCGTGCAACGATCAGCAACGGCTACTGCAATTGCTTAGGAAATGTTATAAGAAAAATAAACCAATAAACAACGAGAAAGTTGCCACACCCCCTTAAGAACGAGATTTTCATGGAGCAGACGTAGGATTAGCGCTATATTAAGGTTGACTTGAGGCGCCACGAAGTCTATTGACTTCGTGGCGCCTCAAGTCAAGAGATCGGTTTGTTTAAATCGGGACAGTAGTTGTGAGTGAAAACCACAATAGGCTTACCTATCTGAAAGGTTTCAGAATCTTCGTTGCTGCTGCTGCCGTTGCTATTCCTGAGGTCGTCATGACAAATCACAGTGAGTCAAAATTGTTAATGTTAATTTTAATAGCTACCAAACTCTTATTTTGAACGTTTTATAATATGTTCCCATTGAATCGATCGATGGCAGACTAACTTTAGTACCACAAACAATTCGTTCTGGAACGTCATTAATGCCACTCGTTCTCTAACCAGCGCGTTGCATTATAATACAAGGTCGCTTTGCATTATTTCCGATAAATGGTAATCAAAGCCCATATCTAATGTGGTCCAAGTTGAGCTCTTTTGAATACACTATTGTCAGTGAAACACGATTGTGTCTTATCATCGAGTATTTGCATCCTACACGGGCTGGCGAGACGGATTTTCGAATGGATAACGTCGCTGGGTCCTGGTTCATTCTAGTCCGGGTCATCACTTCGATTGCGGAAATAGTAGTTAAATTGATGATGTACTACAGTTCGTATGTTAGCTTTGCTATTTGTTTCACTTTTTACTCAGTTAATGGCCAAGAAATGTTTTATTATAGTAGCGGTGGACATTGCGACCAGGTTAACGTTTGGGCCGTCGTGGGCGTCTGGTCCCCGCCGCATGTGTGAAGATATCAGCCTTGCGTAACGGCCACTAAGAATCCGCGTCCAGCCAAACAGCTACTTAGATACGCCCTAAAAATTACACCTGTCCGTTATTCCTCAATCAACATCAGATCTAAGAGTAGTCAGTCCTAACAGTGTTCTATCTACAGGATTTAATTTAATCGCGCCTACAAAAGGAAAAAAGGCAACGACAACGACTTGTGTGACGCCACATCCGTAGCTAATGTTGCCAATGTCGACTACCGCCGAAACTAAGCATTCGCATTGTGTTACAACAACAATAGAACAGTATACGACAACATACGATCACTGTATTCAGTGGCCATATGTTGTATATATATAGTAGGCCAATTTTTCTTTCCGGAAGTTGGTGGCCGAGAAGTTCCTGATTATTCAAAGTATACCTACGGGGTTATATAATACTGCTGTTGCTGTTACGAGTAAAAATGGAGGAAACTTATTAATTTGCTTAACTTTTCTCTATTTCCAAATGTTTATGTTTCTCGGTTACGTTGCCCCTACAATGATTTGTACCTCTACGGGCCGCTTGCCCCTTGCATTCATAGTAGAATCCAACATCACTCTCAGATCGGTGAACTTGTCTAGGGCAAATAGATCTAATGAGCAGACTTTTTTAGCGCTAGCATGTGGTCATCATTAATCGTAGCATTTTGTTGGCAAAGTAAATCTCGTACCACTACATATACGAAGAATTATTCGTTAAATATAAAAATATTCAACGTTCGAAGCTTCGAACAATATTGTACAATCGCAGAAAGCTGCAGAGAGTCATTAGAAGCATCCTTAACATGCTATATAGGCATTTCAACATCTAAACGTGGCGCATTCGCTGGACCAGGCGCCGTTTGTCCTGCTACATCGGTTCTACAAGCTTACTAAAGACGCAACGATGGGGTTGAACTATAACCTTATAGCAATAATGTCATATAATTATTATAGATTTATCTAAATAATACTAGCCGTTTATAGTTATTGGTCTTCTTTATCGACTTGTCCAAAGCTATTTAACGGGTCAAAATTTCTAACTACTTTTTCATGGACAAATTCATTAAGGATTAGGGAATGATGAATTTCGAAGCAAACACGTAACTTAAGGCTAAGGATCAACGTTCAGTGACTGTGTTTCTGCTTCTCTAAACATGAGAGCACTGCTGGGATCCATCGAATACCGGTTAAAATGTGAAGCAGAACGAAAACTGCAAATCGTACTGATACAACTAACTTTAAGTTTAAATTAAGAGGTTAGGGTCCAAAAAAGAAGTAACTGCTTTTTGGGACATTACGCGCAAAAACGAGTTGTCACGGGCTTTTGAACGAAATCGATCATAGAGATACGCCATCTTGGCTAAGTACAGGCATAGTTTTTTGCTGAGGTGAGCTCAAAACGAATGAAAGCATGTATGTATGTATGTATGGAAAATTAGTACACTTACTATCTCAGGTGAAACGTTATGTGTTTGTCCATGTTATTGACCTGAAGAAAATAATGGATTACTAGCGAAAACAACGTCAAAATGAAGAAAGGAAGACGAATTCGTCAGCTGATGTTCATACTTGTAACGGATTTCAGGGATGTATGCTATTACGAGATCGTACCCGAAAAATAATCAGTCAAAGCTTCCAGGTATTATACTGTTCATGTAGATTACTTCCGAGCAGGTGACGTGACCTAACGCATCTTCTACTGAGAGAAATACAACTGCTGCAAGTAGATAACTGTTGATCAGGGGGTCAGCTTCAATGTGCAAACAATAACGGCAATTATGTTCGATCTATGGTGAGGCATCATTGATGTATCTTACATAATTCAAGCTTTTCAGCTTTTTCCCGCTCGTATCGGACTGAGGGAGCGGAACTTCATGATCTTGAGCGTTTCTTGTAGCCGATTCTATTAAAATAGACTATATATATATATATATACGAATAACTCTCGAGCTTCTATTTAAAAAATCCCGCATATGTACATATAACGTTGAAACATCACTTTCGTAAACACCCTGCACTTTACAAAAAATTATATCGTCAACTTGACGTTCCGTTATGATTACCACGAACCGCACCACTATTGTAGCAGCGCCAATAACACGTCAACAACTCCTACTACGCGCGTAAAATAAGCGCAGGATTTCAAATTGAGTCAATATGATCGAAAAACGAATGTATCGACTGATCGAAACATAGCTAAAAGATAAGACGTTATTAAACAAGACACGAAACTGACGGGACGTTATGATGCGGTCGATGCTGAACGGTAACTAACCAATGTGACCTTGGCCACCAGCAGCGGCTATTGCGTCTGTGATGCTAGCAGTGACGCTTGTAGTTGCAAATTCAGCGGAATGGTGGTGGCGCGTAGAACTTTGTTCAAATTCAAATTTTTCAAGGACTGCGATCCAGGCACTAATGGACAAGCAGTCGAAGTTCAAGAGTCACAAATCGTCCATATTTATTACCGAACGAGTCGAAGCGAGCTGAGGTCGTTCGGCCAGTCGCAATGGCCTATAGTGCTGGCCAACGTGGCCTGCGATGGTGATAGCGGTGTCGAAGGTTTTCGATAATGACCAATCGGATTCCATTCAGTCATCATGCATTGTATGGCCGAATATAAGCAATGGCCAGGCTAAGAGCCCTTAAGGCGTCCACCAGTTGTAAGGACAGTTGATTGCTGGCCACCAGCTTCCGCCACCTTTGGCCAGCCGTCTCCTCGAGAAATGATTATCGTGTTGGTCAAAAAAACCTGTTAGTGAAAAATACACTAAAGCGGCTGTGACAGATACCATGTCGTTTCGAGGATTTGTTATCTGAGCATTTCGTCCATTTTGATTAAATGCGCCCAAGACGGCTCACGTCGTATGAGGCTCCGAGCGAATAGAAAATGGCGACGATCAAGCCTGTGATTACGTTTGCACGCCCCGCACAAATGCTGTTATTCCATATTCGTACTGTATCAGTCGCTTAGTATGGAGTCGCTCATAATTTTCCTGCCGCAGTCCCGATTTAGTATGTCGACTGCTGGTTACGGGGTCGAAATTTGTGATAAATCACAGTCAATCCATAGTCAAAAACAGGTATAACATAGATAAAATTAAAAAATCGCATGAAATTTCCGATGTACAGAAGGAAAAGTCGAAGCAGTAATTTATTACATCATTTAGACTGTGGTCAATAGATTAGACATTATCAGTATTCTTCATATCCTATACGCATTTTCTTCTTATTGCATGTACATATATTCAATATTTCGGGCTCTCCTGAGTCATTCTGTCGCAGGGATAAGATTAGCCGCTG